TGCTAGGTTCTTGACCTTTCTGCTGCATTTGACACTATTGACCATCCTCTCCTCCTGGATACTTTCTCCTCTCTAGTTTTAATGATACTGCTCTCTTCTAAATTTCCGACTACTTATCTGACCATTCTTTCTCAGTCTTCTTCATAGACTCATTAACCACAACATGTCCGTATTCCTAAAGGCTCTATCCTGGACCCTTTTCTATTCTATAGATTCTACTCTACATATTCTCTCTGCTGTTGACCTTATCCACTTTCATGTGTTTAATTATAATCTCTATGCAGATAACTTGTAGATGAACATATACAGCCCTAGCATTACCCTTGAACATCACCAACTGTCAACTAGTCATTTTCAACAGGCTGCCTTAGCAACACCTCAAACTCAAAAAATCCGAGACAGAACTCATTATCTAACACCACAAACCCATTCCTCTTTTAAACTTCTCTATTTCTGTCAAAGTCACCATCACTCTTCCAGTTTCCCAGGTTCATAATCTCATTTTTCTGGGCTCCTCATTCTCCCCCATTTCATATATTCAATCAGTTGCCAAATCTTGCCATTTTATCCTCTAAAATATGCCTCACAGGCCACAACTTCCTTCTACTTACACATCTACCCTCTTAGTTTAGCCCAGGGGTGGGAAACCTTGTCCCTTGAGGCCACAGGTTTCCCACCCCTTGTTTAACCCCTCATAACTTCTTGTCCAGACTCTTACAATGGCCTCCTAATTATATTTCAGCCTTAAGTCTCCTTTTAATCCAACCTCCACCTAGGTGCTAAATTATTTTCCTTAATTATAGATTTGATCATTTCACTCCCCTACTCAAGAAACTCCCATGGTTCTCTATTACTTCTAGGATAAAATAACTGGATTTTAAAACCTTTCACAACTTGGGCTCCCAGGCTATTTTCCATCCTTATATATTGCTTCTCTTCCTATACTATCCAATTCAGCCAAATTGTCCTTCTCTGTGTTCCTTAGACATCTTGCCCTTGTCCTGCTGTCCTCCATGCCTGGAATGCTTTCTTACCTCATCTCTGCCGCATCCTTCTCTTTCTTCAAGATACAACTTAAGCACCAGTTGTATACAAAACCTGTCTTGATCCCCTCAATGGCTAGTGCCCTCCCTCTTCAACTACTTAGTAGTTTTTAAATTTGTTCTGTGTTTTTTCTCCATATATTTATACAAATACATTCTGTCACCTTGGATAGAATGTAAGTTCCTTGAATGCAGGGATTGTTTCATGCGTTATTTGTATCTCCAGTGTTTAGTACGGTATCTGGCACATAATTAATGCTTAATTAAAACATGTAGTACTGGTTGTTCAATTGATTGATCTTGTGCTCCAGGGAACACAAATATATCTTAAGAAAACTTTAACGGAAATATATTGTAGAAGGCTCTGTCTTAGATACACATTTTTCTGTATTTAGTCAACTTTCATTTATATGATAAACCAAGCTGGCAGTCATCAGGGAGTAAAAATGATAACTTTAACATATGCTTCATATATCCAGAGGAGGGATTAAAAAATAATTCAAATGAAAGCAATTGATTCAAAGAAGATTCTTAGATCTCATGTCAGGAGGTTTACCACCTAATGTCTAGCAATGACAGTGTCTGGCCTAATGAAGAGTGCTGTGTTCTTTAGTTATTCCCAAAGCCTTCTCTAAATTATACCAGATCACTGGATGACCTGGCCTTTTTGATGTCACATGCTTGTTTTCTAAGTCTTTCTGACATAATTCAGTCCAATTGCAAGTTAGTCATAACTCCTTAATTACATGAGGAAACCTGGTTTATACACTTAGTCTTTTGCCTCTATGAGCAATAGCAAGATAATTAATTAGGTGTATACTTGTTAATATAGGTTATATTAGGTTAGTGGTCTACATCGATAGGCATAGCAGTGGGCTGATTGTGTCCCTGAGGGAAAGGGGGAAGGAAAGGACCAATGATAACCCTCAACCGAGAGTGTGATGACACACATAAACTACTCTCTAAGTATTTTTGTTGTTCGGTCATTTCAGTTGTGTCCGACTCTTTGTGAACCCTTTTTGGAGATTTTCTTGGCAAAGATACTGGAGTGGTTTGCCATTTCCTTCTCCAGATCATTTTGCAGATAAGGCAACTGAGGCAAACAGGGTTAAGTGACTTGCCCAGGGTCACATGGCTAAGAAGTATCTGAGGCCACATTTGAACTCATGAAGATGAGTCTTCTTGACGTCAGGCTCAGCACTGTGCCACCTAGCTGCTCCTCTACGTATACCAATGGTATTCTATTAAAAGTTTTACTATAGAGTAAGAAAGAGTTGGTTGCTGAAGGCCCAACCTATGAGTTAGTAAGCCCTGGGTTCAAGTCGGGTCTCTAATACATACATACTAGAGTCACGATCTTGCGCCCCTGGGCAACTCTCTAAGTTTAATTACAGATGAGTTGCTGATGTGCATCAGCAGAGGGAGTTCCCTACAACAGATGAAATTAACAGGTCTAGATAAATAAATAAAAATTAAGAGAGGATGGAATAAAGCAGCACACTAGAGAGAAAAGCAAAGAATCTTATGTTGGAAGGAACTTTCAAGCTCGTATGGTCCTATCTCCTACCCTAGGGAGCACTGCACTCTACAACATTGCTAAGAGTGTTCATGTGAATGCTTAGGATTACCTTAAGCAGCAGACACTGGAATTCTTGAGAGTATAATCTGAGGTCCTGCAAAAAGAGAAGTCTTTTGAATATTGTACTCTATCCTACTACAAATAACTGATGAAGATAGAAGCGCAATAGGAAAGTATTATATCTAGAGAGAGACAAAAGAGGCAAAGGAAGGGATGGTCTCCTTTTATTTTAGACTTGATTTGTCATATCCTTCAATTAGCATAGCCTTTGCTCTCAAGGAGCTTTGATTTAAAAAGGAAAAAAAGAAACCCAATAAAAAACTTCTGAAGGCCTGCTCCCACCAGTGCCACATAAACTATAGAAGGGCCCTGAGGAAGCAGGGAGAATTGAAAGCTTTGCTGGTAGTTTGCAGGGTGACTGGTTTGAATTAGAGAAAACCTTTTATGATAAGATAGGTCTTGGGTTGAAAATTTGAAAATTTGAGGGAGGAGGGTGTAATGGAGGCAGTAGCAGATGGGAAGAAATGTTGTTGTTGATGTAATGGGGCACATCTGGGTCTTTAATAAAGTTCTTCAGGGATACTCTGGGGGCCCAGGACAGCTAAGCCAAGAGGTTGTTCAGTCAGTCAGCCATTCAATGAGCATTTATTGAGTGCTTGTGTTGTGCCAGGTGCTGTGCTAAGTTGGGAATACAAATACAAGCAAAAAAAGAAAGACAGTCTTTGCCCTCAAGGAGTTTACATTCTAATGAGGAAGAATACACATAAAAGGAAGTTAAAAAGAAGAGAAAGAAGGTACTTAGCATCGAGTCCCGAGATAAATCAAAGCCATGAGTTGAGGAATAAAGGGTCTTTAATTGAGGTAACAGGGTAGCAAACCTGCCACTCTGGGGGATGTCCAGTGGATTTTCCAACCAAAAAGACCTGTGAACAAGTTTTTATAGTTTTAGGAAGAGAGGAGAGAGAAGGTAGGAGGAGGAGGTAACTTGAGGTAGCAAGGCCTGGTCATGAGAGCCCAGTGGCCCCCAGCAATCCAAGCTAGGAGAGTCACTCTGTTCTGGCTCTTTTGCCTTTCATGCCATGAATCCCAATGGAAAGACACAAGGACATGAGAAGCCACGATCCAGCTTGAGCCGGGTTCTCCCACAAGACAAGATTTCAGGATGGGACTGAAGGTCTGACCTTCAGCTCAACCTAAGCAAAGCTATCTTGCTGGGAATGCTACTGACATTCTTACATTGCTAAGATTATTCAGGGAGTGGCAGCTAACATTACATTTGGCGTTAACAATTTCTATACTTATATTAATGATTTTTTTTCTGTCAGAAGTATAACGGAAAAGTCAGGATGAGTGCAGGTCTGTGGGAAATAAAGAGCTGGCTGGCCTCGGTGCCCTCCTTAAATGGAGGTTCTGGGAGGAGCCATACAACTAGAGAGAAGGCTGAAGAGATTTCTGGGTCATGGTGGAGAAGTCTGGAAGATTGAAGCCTGGTGGGAGAGGAGGGGAACTAATTTATGTTAGAATTCCAGGAAACTTGTGTCAAAATAAGAGAATGGGTCTGGAAATGTTATCTTGTAAGACAATAAGAGCTATGGAAAGAAGTTGCCAGAATCATGGAAGTGAATGGAGATGGAATATTTTCAGAATTAGGAGAGATGGAAAGATGAGAACATGGAGGGGGTATAGTTATAGTTATAATTAAGCCCAGGAATCCTGATGGAATCCTTATGATGCTTGATCTAAGCCAAGAAGCTTTAGCAGATTATAGCCTGCCCTAAAAGACTTTTACAGAACTTGCTGTGACAAAAACTCTGAACCTTAAGCTTTTATTTTTTTATTTTGATTTCCAGACACCACTCAGTGTACCAGAGACTGGCATAGCCAGGTAGCTGATCAACCTGCCTAGCAGCAGATTGACCCATGCACTTAAGATATCATATCCCACAAAGTACAAGGTCAGACAAGCTACCCATCCAGGAAAGATTCTGTGTCCCTTGAAGAGCCAATTAAACTTAACAATGGAATAACTCATCTATCATTGATGCCACTAATGTCAGCAAATTTTATGGAGACCCTCCACAGAAAGGAAGAGCATTGAGTCCTTGGAATTCTGGGATTATGAATTGCTGGGGCCTTGCGTTTCCCCATATATGTGTCTTACTGCCATTGTATTTCAAATTTGTGCCCAGTCTCCTCTCCACAGATTTCGTGTGCATTTATGGGAGAAGTAAACCAGTGGGAGCTCATGTGTTAGGAAGCTAATCAAATGCATAAGGGTATTCCTAGAACCCTTGGAGTACTTATAACCATACAATTTAGGACTGTTAAAGGAAGACCCCAGGCCCCAAAAGAGAGACCCTAAATGAAACAGAGTCCAATCACAGATAACAAAATGTTTATTGTTTGAGAAGAAGAACTTGGCAAGAGAAGAAGCTTGCAAGGGGGCAGAAAGAGAGGAATTCTTAGTTGCTCAACGGGGAGTGGAAAAAGGGTAAGTTTCCAGAGGCTTTCAGATTGGGAGCCGGGGTTAAAGAAGAAGACGTCTGTAGACACAATAAGCCAGGCAGCAGGATGTTTAGAAAGTCCCAATCAAAATCTTGAGTCTGTAGCTTCTGCTCAAGGTTGCCCTTGAGCTGATCAAAGCTGGCTCCACAGGCATCTCCAAATTTGGCTAGAGTCCACTCTCAAAGGATCACTGGTATGTCAAACATCTTTGGGCTTCAGAAGTCCTTCTTATTGGCCGGTTGTTGTTTTACTTCAATGTTCTACTCCTCTGTAAAGAAAGGAAGTTTCAACATATCTATAGTCATTACAAAGTTCATGTTGACAAGACCTAATCTACTAATGCCATTGAGGGTTGTATGAATGACCCCATCGGAGGTGATGCTGACTGAAATAAAAAATAATTTAGAGAAGTTAAAAATATGACTTGGAAGATGAAAATTAAATATGGAACAAAGTACACAAACTGACATTTTAAAAAGGAAGTAGTTTAACGAATATAAGAACATATTATCTGGAGTCAGAGGGGACTTTATATAGATCATGTATTCCTAAAGTCTCATTTTATAGATGATCTAACAAAAGCCCAGAGAGGCAATGTAATATGCTGAAAGTCTCGTGGGTAGTAAGTCTAAGAGCTTGGATTTGAACCAATGTGTTTTGACTTTAGTACTCTTTCAACATTCCACACTGCCTCTTGAAGATATGTGATATTGGGTGAAGAATTTGGATTAGAGGGGGCAGCTGAGTGGTGCAGTAAATAGAGTACCTGAGTTCAAATCTGGCCTCAGACCAAACACTTGATGCTAACTGTGTGACCCTGGGCAAGTCACTTAACCCCAATTACCTAAAAAAGGAAAAAAAAATAATTTAGATTAAATTATCTGTAATGTCCATTCCACCTCCAAATCCCATTATGCCCTGATCCTTGAGGTCCCTTCAGGTTCTAACATTCTAAGCTTCTCAAGGGTTGGGGGATTTGGCTGTCCTCCTCCACCCCCCCCCCAAACCCAAGCCCCTCAGATAAATGATGTAATTATAGAAAGTAAAGGGCAGATGACCAAGGTAGAGAGGCATTTATATGCTAATGAAGTGTATAGATATTTCTATACATTGTCATCCCTTTATAAAGCATAAAATGTTCTCTGATTGAATTTCAAGGGAAGTTGGCCATTGTTGGGAAAGATTGGCCACGTACTAGATGGCCTTATAAACCTAAGACAGTTCAAGAGTTTGAGATGTTCAAGTCAGAAAGCAGCTTTGCAGAATATGACCCCTGTGCCTCTACCAGAGGACATAAAGCAGGAAGGGGATTTTTCTTCCTCCTCTATTCCCCAGCATGGCATCTTGCACCTACTTGTCCAGTAAGAGATATCACATCTTATATTAAACAGTTTGAGAGAGTTCAAAGCATAGTTGAGTCAAAGGGTGTCTTGGAGTCAGCTAGAACCAGCTTAGCAGACTGTTAAATTTTCAGTATCAGCATTTATACTTTAGAAACAGGCAGATGCTATAAATGGGCTTGGTATGTTGTCCTCTTGATTGTCTAGACTTAAGTAAATGATGGAGTAAATGTTAATAATGCAGGTTAAACCTAAAAGTGTGTTGTGGGTACAGTTTTTTTGTTTTTGGTGTTTTTTTGCAGGGGAGAAGCAGTTATTAAATGCTTACCAGCATACCCCTGGACACATCTAATAGGAAGCAGAGATACAGATTCTCTATGTAGATACAGTCACAGAAAAGGAGCTTCAAAGAGTATGACCTTTGGCAGCTGAGAAGAGAGCTATGCATTCAAGAAAGAATTGGTTCTGGCAACTGGTCATACAGCTATAGAGAGGGGCAGATTCAAGGAGCTCAGCTGAGCAATTCACCCAGCAGAGATGCCACCCCCAGTGGGGAGCAGCATGAGGACCTCACAAAGAGGGAAAGGACATTGGGACCCTCTAGTACCAGAGGCTTGAATTGCCTTGGCCACATACATTCTCAATATTTGTGTCTCACTCTCAGTGTACAGACTTTGTGACTCTTCTTCCTACAGATGCTGTGTGTATTTGTGGGAAAATACACCCCAGTCTTATAGGGGGAATTTTTTGTAGTTGGTATTATTACTATGCTGTTTTGGTAAATGCCTTTGCTTTGAGCTAATTGTGTCTTTATTAAATGTAGGCTCACAGGTAGGGGGCTTATGGAGCACCTCGCCTTTGAACCTGGGCAAGCTGTCAGCTCTTTGGGGACCTATGACTGCAGTTTGGGAAGGAACCCCAAATGGGATGCTACATTTCCTTATAATTTCTCTCTGTTCTTGTGATGGTACAGTGCTGGGAAAGACCTAGGAGGACAGAAGTAGCCTTAAATTAGCTAATGCTAACACTTAATCTTCTATTTGGAGGAAAAGAAACATTCTTGGTAAAAATCTTATGAACAGCAGAGAAGCCTGAATAGTACATATGAAATTATTTATAATGTACCTATAGGTGCTTTCTCCTATTCTATTTAGATGCCTTTCAGTTTTCCCTTTTCATTCTTATGTCTTTTACCTGGCCAGTATCTAATTATTCAAATTAATAATTCACTCATAAAGGGCCACAGAGTACTAGTCTCATGTTGCTAATATCTTTGCAGCTATGATGATAGCTTTATTGAACTCTGGTTTATTTATTATGATTCATTCATGGTGTGCAGCATTTTTTAACAAAGAAAATTGCTTAACATAATAGAAATTTGCACACCACCTCAACGTGGGCAACATCTATAAACACATGAGTAGCAATCACAAATAAGGGAAATGAGAGTCTCTTCCTGAGCTAATTTTGTACTATTTTATCGCTTGTAGGACTGAGTAAATCAGAATTAGTCAGAAAGGTGGTAGAAGAAGTCAAGGGGGAGGAGACTGGGAGACAAATAACTCCTAATGAGAAAGAAGCAAACTCTAATGTGTCAGGAGTTGATCTGTGGGAAAGTAGGAACTACATTTGCATAATTTGGCAAGATGACTAGGGGAAAGGGCAAGAAATGGAAAAACTATAAACAAGTGATTGGGAAGTCAGGGAAAAACTAAAGAACTGCCCCAGAAGGACTAGGGTAAAGAGAATGTCAACTTTGTACTGATTAGAAATGTTTTAGGACCTGGCCTTCCCGAGGGATATAGTAGGTCACTGCTTTCTTGATTTGGCTAAGTTTGGAAGGAGAAAAAAATGCATCATATAAATCTGGGATACAATGAAGTAAAGGGAACAGGAAAAAATCTTTTGTCCTCAGAAGACATTCCTAGGTGAGGACTTCATTCTTCAGTTTAATGGTTGTCCTCTGAATTAGAATGACAAAGAAATAGGATGTCTCCAAAGAATACTAAGGATATTCTTAGAGTAGTATCTGAAGGACATAACCTAAACAACTCTTGAATATGCAGAATATGGAGATCTTCTGTCTGGGTACCCTTTGTCCTAAGGAAAGCTAAAATGCTGTCTGCTTTATTAGACCATCTTCATGAATTGCACAACCAAAAATATTCTTTGCCTGGTGACCAAGGCCTGGGTGATGCTACTCCAAACTTAAAGAGTCTGGTCCTTACCAGCCAGACACACTTTCTTTCTCCAGTCTGGTCCCATTTTGGAAACCCTTTTAGCTTGGTAATACTTGCCAAAACTTCTATTTTGCAGATATAGCTTTCCAGAATCCAAAGTCATGTCTAGATCTTAATTTGTCTATGCCATCAGGGTAAGACTCTTTAATGGAAACTTCAGGCCAATTTTTAGGATCAATACTTAAAAATAATACAGGCTGCAATGTACACACAAGCTCATAAGCTTCTTCCTGCCCCTAATTTCTGCCTCTGGGACAAAATATGCTAGCTTTTATAATGTACAAAAATATAATAGAAGATAAAGGGGATATCTTCAGAAATTTATTTCATGTTAAAAAAAACGACTTTCTTTGATTCTGTGATGGATTTGCAATCTGATTCATGAGGGTGTTCCTCATACCAATGCAAATCACAATCCACACCTGCCTATTAATCCTATGTGACTCTTCCAGGCCTTCCTCAGGTTCTCTTGACATTGTGAAAGTATCAACAGAGAACACAATCTGTTCATCAGTTATTATTCACTTTTGCTATGCATCTCCCATTATGGTGCTCAAACATAACAAATGGTTAATCTACTCATGGGCCACCCAGAGTTGATTAATATTTCCATTGCAAAGTACTGTGATTATTTTACTAGACTGACAGAAACTTTTGTTTATGTTCTTTACCACGCATGTGCATCAAACCTCACTGCTGATACTCCTTTATTTAATTAATTCATACCCTTATTAAACCTTCCCCCTTCATGTGCAATGTACTATGCTAGACCACATAACTACAAAGCTTAATAATATTTTCCTCTGTTCTGAAGGAGCAGGAGTCAATGCAAATTATTTTTGGTATATTACCATCTATACTCACAGAAAGCATGGCATAGTGGATGGATCTGTTGGACTTTGAGTCTGAAAGAATATGGCTCAGATCCCACCTCAAACATTTACTAGCTCTATGGTTATGGGAAAGATGCAACTTCTCTGAGGCTCAGTTTGTAATTTGTAAAATGGAGATAAATATCATACCAGGTACCTAAAAATAGGTAACATTTGTATAGGTAGTAGAAACTAGAGCTCTGTATTTGGGAGTCAGGAAAACCTGAATGCTAATCCTGCCTTGAATATTTATTAGCTGTGTAAGACAGGGTAAGTCCCTCAACCTCTGCTTTTTTTTTTCTTTTTCAGTTACCTTATCTGAAAGATGGGAATATTATTAGCACCTACTTCCAGGATTCTTTTGAAGATGAAATGAGATTACATATATAATATATGTTTACATATATATGTAAGTAAAATACATGTGTGTATATGTGTGTTTGTGTATATATATATGCGTGTGTATGTATGTATGTATATATCTATATTTAAAATTTGATCCTAAAAACAACCCTGGAAGGTAGGTGCTATTATCATCCATATATATGTATTTATATGTGTATGTATGTATATAAACTATATATACATATATGTGTACATATCTATATATAGAAAGAGATCTATCTATCTATCTATGAATCTATGGAGATATCTCTATCCTCCATCTATGGAGATACACATATAAAGAGATCTCTCTCTCTATGTATATATATATATATATAAATACATATATAGATAGCTATATCTCTTTATATATATATATATATATATATATATAGTACTTTGCAAACCTTAAAGCATTGTATTAATGATAGCTATTACTTCTAATATAAATTTTCAAAGTGTTTTCCATGTATCATTTCATTTGATCCTTACAACAACCCTGGGAGGTAGGTCCATGGACACATAGCTAAGCAGTATCTAAGGTGAGATTTGAGCTCCCGTCTTGACTCCAGGTCCAACACTCTATCCAATGCACTCCCTCCCTCCCTCCTAGGGTTGTTATGTCTCAAATAAAACCTAAGCCAATGCGTTGCCAACTCTAAAGTGCAGTAGAAGAGTATGCTTTTATTGTGTGTAACATTGTGTTATCAGAATGTGGTTTCACCCTGTGCTTGTCAGTGTAAGCATTCTAATTTGGGTAAAACATTCCCATTTCTTCCTTGAGTATTCTCTGGAGGCTCATAGGGATGTTCTGCCAGGGTTTCCCCTGAGTTTATTTCTCAACCTCAGTAGGAACGCCTGATGTTATACAAAAAGTGCTCTTGGGTAGAGCATTCCCATGGCTGCAGATGGCCATGTTTGATTTGATTCAGCAATATGTTTTATTAGCAGATAAGAACATTCCTGAAAATCAGTTATCACCCACAGTAAGATACTGTCTTATTATTAAACACTTATCAGAACAAAAGACTTGCCATCTGGAATGGTTAAGATTTGCCTCTAAGGAAATATGAAACAAGACTCCTGTTCTCCAGGAGCCACAAGACAAGATATAAAATCATTCAATGATAAGGCAAGGTAACATCTGACTAGGGACCAAGATGAATGATCCAGGTATTGAGTTACAACAGTTTGGCAGGAGGGGAGATCTGTTGGAACAATATAAGGGCTTGGCTATATGAGCCCTCTGGAAGTAAGTGAAGCTTGATTTGAGCCCTGAATGATGAGATGGAAAGGTAGAAAGAAGAGGCAGGGCAGGAAATATTCCAGACAGTGGAGACTAGCCTGAGTGAGGGCCTTTTATTGAAACTATGATCATATGCTGGGCAGGAAGAAGACATTTGACTAGAGTTGGGGGTTTGTGTTGAGAGTAATAAAAGTAAGGTTGGATAGATTGAGTGGGACCAGATTACAAAGAGCTTTTGGAGTCAGGAAGATATAAGGACTTAGAATTTGGTGTCCTACGGGTCCCCAAATGCCTGTTTTTGAGCCAAAGAGTGACATGAAGATTGGTGTTCTTAAGTTGAGCCTGAAAGTGGCAGATGAGGTCATTTGGATGGAGGAAAGACTAGTCAAGGAATTTAGCTAGGAGGTTGTTCTTACATGCTATGATTCAGGTGCAAGATGGCAATGATTTGGACTAGGGGAGTGGTTCTGTTGGAATGGAGATAAAGGAAGAAAGAAAAACATCAGCAATATCTCTGATTTAAAGTTCAGTCACAGGCAACCTAGCGTGGTAGAAACAGAAAAAGTGGGGGCAGCTAGGTGGTGCAGTGGATAGAGCATGCACAATGGATAGAGCACCCATCCTGGAGTCAGGAGGACTTGAGTTCAAATGCGGCCTCTGACACAAAATACTCAATAGCTGTGTGATCCTGGGCAAGTCACTTAACCCCATAGACCAAAAAAAAAAAAAAAGAAAGAAAAAAAAGAAATAGAAAAAGCATTCAATTTAGAGCTCGAGTACAGGGGCTTAAAATCCTAATTCTGCAAGGATTTTCTAAGCTTGTCTTAGAAATTTATCTTTTAAAGAGTCAGATTTGAAGGTAGAAGATAAATTTTTGACAGGGTTCTGTGACTTCTCATACCTATGTAACTTTGGATAAGTCATTTCACTTGTCTGGGCCTTGGTTTCTTTTGCCTTCATCTGTAAAATGTGAACTAAATGATCTCTGAGGTCCTTTCCAGGTCTAAATATGTGATCCTAATGAAACAATCAATTCAGCAAACATTTATTAAATGTCTGTGATATTTAAAACACAGAAAATCTTCACATGGAGGCATTGGGGGAAAAGACTATTAGAAATCCCAGAAGTCATTCAGAAAAGGCTAAGTAGGATGGTAAGGAGACTATATGTCATACTATTAATAATTAGTAACTATTAATAACTAGTAATAATTAGTTGTTTAGCCTAGAAAAGAGTAGGTGGTGTGACATGATATTTGTTAAGTATTTGAAAGAATAAGAAAGAAAGCATAGAGTTGTCTTGCTTATTCCCATGACGGCAGAACTAGGAGCCATATATGGAAGTTATGAGGAGCTTGAGGAAAGAAAACATCTTTTGAACTACTAGAGCTATACAGCAGTAGCCTGGTTTGTCCTAGCTCTGCCTCCTTAGGAGTCTTCTGGTAGAAGCTGGATGATGGGGAGGCAGTAGGGGCAATTCCCCTGTGTATGGACAAGTTGGACTAAGTGCTTCCTAACCCTGCTTCTATGGAAACTGCTTGTGCACATGCATTTATTGTCTGCTGCTGTTGAGTTGTTTTTCAGTTGTGTCCGACTCTTTGTGACCCTATTTGGGGTTTTCTTGGCAAAGATACTAGAGTGATTTACCATTTCCTTCTCCAGATTATTTTTATAAATGAGAAACTGAGGCAAACAGGGTTAACTGACTTGCCCAGGGTCATGCAGCTAGTAAGTGTCTGAGGCTGGATTTGGGCTCTGGAAGAGGAGTCTTTCTGACTCCAGGCCGGGTGTTCTATCCACTGTGACACCTACCTATTGCTTATAATTCCCAGCTAAAGATCATAACAGCAACTTAAACACCACCCAGTTGAAGATAAGAAACATCTTTCCTGTAGTTAGGTCCAGTTGCTGGAATTACACTATGCCATGCTTTGTTTTGCACATCACATAAGAAGGTGGAAGAGAAGACACATTGAGAGACTGTTCCAGCCTTGAACAAATTCTACTTCCTCCACCAATTCTTCCCCAGAGAAGAGGAATAGGTATTCCTTTCCCCATCCTTTGCTCTACTCAAGCATTTCTGTCATAGGGCCACAGACTCTGAGCTTCTTATGTGATCTTATTTATTTAATTAATTATTCATTTCTAAGCCTGGTTCTTATTGACTTCATCTGAATGTTTGGGCTCTTTTTCATGGTTTCAGTTAAAGAAATTTAATTCAATAAACATAAGTTAAACGCCAGTGATCCCTCAGGATTATCATGACTGCAGGGATGTACATTCCGTTCAGAGACCAAAGATTTGCATCAAAGAAGGGAGTGAACACCCAAATAGCAAATATGGTCCCCTACTACTTGTTCTATATACTCTGTTACTCCCTCCCTACAGTACAATTCACTGGGTGGAACTGTCCAGGAGAAGAGCAGCAAAAAGAATGGAGGATTATCTTTTCTTTGAAGTCAGGAGATAGACAGATATTTCAAGTTGGAAGGAACCCTAGAGGTCATCAAATCCAGCTATCTCATTTAAGAGAAGAGGAAACTGAGGGTCCAGAGGAGGAATGGCTCTTGCCTAAGATGATGTAAGTAGAAGAAAGCGAAGTCCACATTCAAACCTCATTCCTCTTACCTTAAATCCTGCATTCTTTCCGTTACACCATGTGGACAATTGCTGCCTCCCCTGCTTCTTATTTTGTATCTTCCCAAATACCAGTTACAAGTAGGAGTCTCTTTTTAGCCTCAGAGCACACGCATACTCTTCTTGAATTATCCCCTAAATGTCCCTTTTTTGGATTCTTCCTGCAGAGCTCTGCTACCACTCCTAACCTCCTTGAAGCAGAGAGAGCTTTTTCAAAGCTTCCACTTTCTTTTTCCTATTTAGCAAAACATAACTAGAAGAATTAGATCTAAAACTTCTCTTTCTTATATTCCTTCCTGCCTCCACAAAGCACTCCTATATAGTTTAACCTGCTTTGTAAACAATACTTTTCCAGAGAAGTTTCCCTAATGCTTCCAGAAATGACTTGTGTGGTTTTAATCCAAAGAGCCTTGTTTGGAAGTAAGGAGACTGCAGTTTTTGTCCAGGTTCTGTCATCATTTGTCTGGGCCTTAGTATCCTCATCTTTAAAATGGCCAAATTAGCAAGGCAGTTAGGTGGCACAGGGAATAAAGCACTGGCCCTGCAGTCAGGAGGACCTGAGTTCAAATTACACCACAGATACTTACTAGCTGTGTGACCCTGGGCAAGTGATTTAACCCCAATTACCTAAAAAAATATTCAGGTTGGACTAGGTAATCTTGAAGGTCCCTTCCAATTTGAACCTTCTATTATGGATGAAAATAGTATACATATCCATCCTTGGTTCTGGAGCTCTTTGGGGGTTTTGGAAGGGGGAGCTCAGCTTTTCATCACGTACAGAGCAGTACTGTTTGAGGACCATTCTTTTGTTAATCCATAGGAACTAGTTCATTACCAAATGTTAGCTAAGAATCTCCTATAGGGAAGATGAAAAATTTCATAGTATAATTAGGTTGATTGCCAGCTTTGGAGTTGGTTAAAAACTGTGTTCAAGTCCTTTCTCTGACACTTATTAGCTCTATGCCAATGGAGCACATGTTCGGTGCCTTAGGCTGCTTTCTAAAACCATAGATTGCCAGGGTGCATCGGCTGAGTGAGTCTTCCACATGAGGAATCCCTCCCACTGATGAATTCACAAAGATCTACAAGATTTTGTGTTAAATTTTTGGAATCCAAAGATGAACAACCTCATGATGTCTTACTCTCAAGTAACTTTTAATCAGGAGGAAGAGAGGGAAGGGGGGAGAGAGGGAGGGAGAGAAAGAAAAGAGGAAGATAGGGAGGAAAAGAGGGAGGGAAGAAGAAATTTATTAAGCTTTTACGATGTTCCAGGCACAGTACTAAGCCCTGGCCACCTTCCTTCCCTCTCCCTTTCTTCATAAGCTTTAGGAACCTTCTATGGGAAGAAAGGTTCCTGGTTTGAGATCTAGAATACAAGCAAAAAGAAAGTGCTCCTGTCCTCAAAGACCTTACATTCTAATAGGGGAAGATAATTCAGAAAAGGAAGCTGAAGTGGGGAGGGGGAAAGGGGAAGGAAGCAAGGTTTCCAGTTAGAGGTCCAGAATGTCAGAAAAGATCAGGGGGAAAAAGAAGACAGGCTGACTTGGGTCTTTCCACAAAATGGTTGGTGAGAATCAGAATGGGCCTTGTGGAATATTCCTGGGTGAACAGGACATAGGAGTAATAGGTTGTTGCAAGGGCTAGGAGCACACAACACTTACAGATGCTGTAAGATGAGCCAGAAGGAGAGAAGACATGGTTTTTGAAGTCCAGCAAGTCAGAGTCAGTCCCAAGAGGAGAATGAAGGGCCATAGTTCTGGAAGGCTTGTCTTCAGGCTCCAGAGTGTATTGTCTCCCCACTATGAGGGTACTTGAAGGCAGGGACTGTCTCGATTTTATATTTGTATCACCATTACTTTGCTCAGAGTTTGGCACATAGTAGATGTTCAGTAGATGCTTTTTCACTCATTCACTCGTTCAAATAATACTGTGAATATGTATATAATTCTCACAAAATGTCATTTATTTTCTGTTTCCCTTGTGCCTAGAATATCAAATGTAAGAAGACCCCTACTCTAATTCCTCTCACTAATTTATGATTAGAACATTAAAGAAGTTTACAAATGCTAACATTTCCATTTTGATTTAAGGCTTAAATCGTAATATATACTCCAGCAGTAATGCTGAAAATTGAATGTGACTGAAAATTGAATATGAATTTAAATGGCAATGAACAGTTCTGGGAGTATATTTTTTTGGTTGTTGTTGACCTATTACATACATTCTCTGGAAACACTCTTCTCCTCAGTGATTTCTCTCTAAATAGCCTTATTTTCCTCATGAGATATGGCAGCAGAATTTCAGTCTCATTATCCAGCAATTGGGCATACTTCCTTTTTTCCATTTTAAAACTGTCAGAAAAGTACCTTCATTTCCTCCACAAGAAGTAAACATAGGCAAAGGTCAGAATGAAACAATCATCTGGAGCTACAAGAAGTAGAGCAAAGTACAATGCCAAATTGGGTAAATGAGAATGAGTCATTTGTCTAAGCTAGGGTAGGGATACAGGCATGTCAATACTATGCAGACATTGCAGCCAGGTCCCCAAATCATTATGTACTCATCAATCATCAGTCACTCATTTATTGGGATTCATACTCAACAAACACTAATTTTATGTTTGTAAATGTTCAAGGCAATGTGTTAGATGCTGAAGTAGACACAAAATAAATAAGAGATAGATCTTAGCCCCAAGTTGTTTGCAGTCTAGTGTGAGATATAAATAAGAGCACCAAGCCTCATGTGTCTAGGCTAACTCCTTCCTGAATTCTGTACTCTTTTCATTGAAGTCCAATTTCTTAGGTGAATTCAGTTCAGGGCAGTGTTCTCCTGTCAGAAGGAAAAGTTTTCTTTTTGTAATATCAAAGGCTGAACAGAAAAGACATTGAAGTCACTTAAGTGGGAAGACAATCTGTCAAATGCATGTAAACACTTTAAAATAAGTACATTAAAATAGTTATCATGTAAACTTGAATTTTTGATTGGAAAAGATTACATACTTAAAAAAAGACATTCCTTGGAACTGCATGTCTCAAGGCTCTGGAAGGCCTGTGAGGCAGCAGCATTGGTAGCCTTAGAGTGACGATCACAACTAGCAGGTGAACCATCTGCATCGGGAATGGAGAAACACACCTGGGGAAGATTTGGAGGATTTGGAGAAGCAACTCCCTGAAGGAGGAGGCAGTTTCAGGGAGTGTGAGACCTCATGGTAGAGAGAAGTGCTGGTTATGGATTTTAAAAAAGGAGCAGATCCTAGGATCCCAGAATAGTGTGGAGCAAGCTATTTAGCCCAGACGTAGCTGCGAGCTTTGTGAGAGCTCACCAGAGAAATACAGGACTCCCAGAGCCGGTACCAACGGCACCAAGAGTTATCCTCTGACACACTTGATGCCTACACATGCGCCTTACTACCAGCGTGGTGTAAGTGTGAGTCCATTTTCCCCACGGGCACAGTGTATATTAATATACAAGACCTTGGACTGTTGGGGAAGACAGTTTTTGTTATGCCTTTTGAGTGAAAGACGTTGATAGGAGCTAATTGAGTCTACTAGCTGATTGTTGATGAAAACATGCTTGTGGGGATCTGGCACTAGGGCCAGAGCCCCACAGAGACACTCAGAGATTCTGAGGCAGCGGTCACCTTCTAGGCACCTAACCTCCAAGCTGGTGAGTGCAAGTTAGTAGAGAAATCTGGGGGTAGAGGAGAAGATAGGGGTAACATGAATATATGCAAAATAAAAACAAGGTAATTTTGAGAGGCAAGGCACTGACAAATGGGGGTGGGGAGCAGGAATGGTTTTATGAAGAAGACGGTACTAGACCTGCTTTAGTCTTCCTCACCAGAAACTCTACACCCATAAAAGTGCAGGTCCAGTCAAAGGGGAAAAAAAAAACATTTACTGAAATACTTAGTTTATACTTTTCTTACTTTAATTTTAATGTAATTTATTATAAACTCATTAAATAGAAAATAAAATTCAAATAAACAAAATAAAAAAATTAAACTACCTATAAAACCATAAGTTTCAAACTATTTGTAGTTAGTTAACAAAAATGAACATGGCGAGAGACCCTAATAAAATAAGCAAACACTGTATTTGCTTCTGTCCCTTCCAATCTTTTTTTCGGTGTTTATTATTATATTTTGTTGCTGTTAGTTATTTTTATAGTTGTCAGTTTTGATTCTTCTTTCTTTACTCTGCATCGTTTCATTGAAATCTCTTCATATTTCTATTTCATCTTCACATTTATTATTTATTAGAACATGTAGCTTTCTACAAGATTGCACATATACTTAGAAACTTAATGAGTTTTTTCGGGTGGTAATGGTTGCCAAATATATGTGATTCCTTTATATAGGTGTCGCTTTAAATTTCTTCCTCAAAACCTATTACAGCCCAACATACTCATTTTATTCTTAACAACCATAAACTGACACATTTTACTATAGGTTTAAAAGGCTCCTATTATATGAATTCAGTAAGTATCACTGGACTTTATAGAGAATCTTGACCAAGCTGTTTCTTTACTCATAAACTTGCAATGAATAAATAGTCCTTTAGACATAAAGAAAATGCTATTTACCTAACAAAATGTTGCTTGACTAATTTTTTGCCCTATTAGCAGTGAACTTGCTCTAAGCCAGTGTCATAACTAAGGCAGGGCAAAGGGGGCTTTGCTTCGGGGTACCAAAATTTAACACACGACTAAAGAAAACAACTTTTCTTACAACTCAATGCCTTTTTTCTTCATTACTAGTGTCACCTGCACATCATGAATTATAAAGCTGATTTGATGCTCCTTGTTCTGGGAGCATGTAATATGTTACAGACTCTGGGTGCCAACATTGCTAGTTTTTCTCTGCTCTGATCTCTTTTGCTTGATTCTTTCTTCTTGTCTACTGAACACATTTACAGAATGGCCGCGGTCTCTTGTTTAAGTTGACCATGAAATACTGTAAAACCAATTGGTGACAAAGTGATTGAACCAGGAATCTCAGTCCTGGTGGTACTACTGTTCTGAGCTAACTCGCCATGGGCTCGTCCCCAAACAGGAGACAATGTGGTACAGTGGCTGGAGACAAAAACCTATGTTTGTATACGGTTTTGTTACTTTCTCCCTCTGTGATTTTCAGCAAGCCATTAACCAACCTGGGACTCAGTTTCCTCCATTCTAAAATGAGGAGGAGGGACTAGATAGCCACTGAGATTCCTTCTGGTTCTAACTTTAATATCCTAAAAATTCCCTTCCTTGTAAAATGTAGGTTTTTAATAATAATAACTGAAATTTATAAGACACTTCAAGGTCTACAAAATGCTTCAAGCACATCATATAATTTTAGCCACACAAAAGCCCTATGGCAAAGGTACTAAGATATGATTATTCCCATTTTACTGGTGAGGACACTGAGGCTTAGAGAAGTTTAGTTACTTATTCACGATCACAAAGCTACTAGTAAGTGTCAGAGGTAGGATTTTAACCCAAGTCTTCTGGACCCCATTTCAATGACCATATACTAAAGGATGGTCTTCTAGTAGGGGAAATTATGACTTGGGAAGTTCAGAGTCTGATGAGTAGTTTATCACATACATTTAATTATCTCTACGAACAAGAATATGTTAGGGACTTGGGCACACTTTTGAGGGGTCTGTAAAAATTGCCAAGTCATTTAAGACTTTTTTATTCCTCATTTAAAAAGCAACTAAATTGGGAAGGTTGAAATATTACTTATTATTTTAATAAAAATCCTAGATGCAGGGACACCTAGGTGGCACAGTGGATTGAGCACTGGATCTGGAGTTAGGAAGACCCAAGTTCAAATCATGCCCCAGATTCTAGCTGTGTAACCCTGGACAAGTTGCTTAACTTCTATTTGCCTCACTTTTCTCAACTATAAAATGGTCACATTAATGGCACTTACCTCCCAAGGTTGTTGTGAGGATAAAATAACATAATATTTGAAAAGCACTTAGCACAGTGACTGGCACATAGTAGGTGCTATATAAATGCTGAGTTAGTGGATGTAGTGCAGTGGGTAGAGTGCTAGGCCTGGAGTCAGGAAGATTCATCTTTGTTCAAATTTGGCTTCAGACACTTAGAAGTTATGTGACCCTGGGCAAGTCGCTTAACCTTGCTTGCATCAGTTTCCTCATCTGTAAAATGATCTGGAAAAGGAAATAGCAAACCACTCCAGTATCTTTGCCAAGAAAACCCCAAATGCGGTCACAAAGAATTGAGAGACTGAAAAAATGTGAGCTGTTATTATTATTATTATTATTATTATATGCACAACAGTGGGAAAATATGCCATTCTTCCTCCACCATAAATAATACTTAGAATGAAAGCATTTTAAAAGCAATTTAATTTATATTTACTTAGTTGTCTCTGTAATAATCTGTAAAATGGGCACAACAATAGCACCTACCTCCCAAGGTTGTTGTGAAGACAAAATAACATCTAGTCCCAAAGAACTTTCCCAGCTGCTTTAGGACAAACTTCTGGATTCATTCCCATTGTTCTTCAAATTGAACAGAAATACACTGATAATTACAGTTTTAAAAAAATTACTCCAAAGAATTGTGATAAAGTTCACATCAAGATGTGGGTCCTATTGTACACTCAGATAAATGTACATTCATGGAAATATTGCAAGGAAATTCCATTAGTGGGGCCTGATTCTTCATCAACAAAGACTTTAAAATATTTTGTCTTCTGCATGTTTTGTAACGATTTGAAAGCCCCCCCCCCCCTTTTCTGGTTGCAGAGCCAATGACCACGTGCCAGAAAGGGAAACAAAGTTGAAGAATTTGTAACACACACACACACACACACACACACACACACACACACACACACTTAGGAGGGAAAAAAAAGGAAAAGCTGGGTCATAAAGGAAATGCCCAGACGTTGTTTCCAATTGGTTATTTACAAGTATCAGATGTTCTAGACATCTTTAAAAGGAAGTTATCTGGGCTCAAGAGTGTTACATTACTTTCCTGAAAACCACTGTTTCCTTTCCCTGCTTGAGGTCGAAATCTCAGAAGTCCCACAAAATGTGTGAGGCGTTTGTAGGAACCTGGAAGCTTATTTCCAGCGAAAACTTTGATGAATATATGAAAGAAGTGGGTAAGGATAAACCTTGCATCTTCCTGGATAAGGAATGACTTTTTCTCTCTAGGGTAAAGGGGTTTATGACTGTGTTGTTCACACTGGAAGTTTGGTCAGCTAATTAAATACTCATTCCTCTTCAGAGAATATGTTTGTATTGATTGTCTTTTGCTTCTGTATTCTAAATGTTTGTTTTTAAGGTTTTCAGTTAGAAAAGTAAACTTTGTGTGTGAAAGGGTCTAATAGTTTGTTTGTTTGCTTTAAAAGAGCTAACAAATTATTTTCCTGATTTATTATCTCCTATCCATTTGGTTCATTGGACTCATTGCCTATGGCCTTTCTACCCACGGAAACAAAGGAATATATTTGTAGTATGTATGATGTTGTATAGCAGTTTGTATTTGAAATGTAAATGCCGAATTTTCCATCTTAATTTATGCCATGTTCTACTCTTGCTTTCTTTTCCAGGGTGAAGACATAGCTAAAATGATGGGACTTTTCCCTTGCAGCTAAAGATTATTTAGAGAACTGTAGGTCACCAAGGTTGCATGTTGATTGTTTTGCTATCAAGTTTATTCTGACTGTGGCTGCTTTATGGGAGACAATGTCTCACTCATCACATTTGCCTTCTTGGAAGGATTTAGAAATGTTCTTTGACACTAGCCTGAAGTCAAGAGGAACCGAGTTTAAATTCGGTCTCAGACACTTACTAGCTGTGTGACTCCAGGCAAGTCACTTAACCCTGATTGCCTCCCCTACCCACCCCCCCATTTTTTAAAAGAAAGAAATGTTTTTTGACTTGAATTATAGGAGATTTATGGATGCTAAAGCCAGGCTTCCCATTTAAAGTCAGAGTCTAGCCAACCCAAACCCATCTGGAATTACACCATGAAAATTTAAAGAATTTAACTAAAGAAGGTTTCAGATACTATTACTGTATTTAGTTCATTAATTAAATAAAAATGGGATTTTTTTTCTTAAAAGAGAGAGGATGTGTATTGTTAATATAGATAGTGAGAGTATATCCCATCCCCCATAATTTTGGGTAAGAAATAGGGTCGTTAGCACCCCAGCAGCCCTTGTGGATTATGAGGGATCACAAAAGGTAGTTCCTTCTCTCTGAAGCATGTGCTTAGTGATGACTTTCTTGGAAGTGGTGTATTGGAGTAGGGAGAGGGACTATGCAATGTTTTACTTTGGAATCAAATTTAAATAGACATCACTTTGCATACTGCCTGGCACATAGTAAGCAATGAATAAATGTTTATTGATTGATTGAGTGTCATTTATTTGAAAGTTGAAAATTCTATGTCTTTTCAAAAGCCCCAAACTTCTGAAAAGGTAAAGCACCTTTTCTGGTTTTCTGAAACAACTAGATTCTGGCTTATGAAAAGAGGTAGAAGAGTAATCTGATCTTATATTGATTCTTATCCAATACCATAACCTCACAAGCTAACTTTCCTTTTCAGGTAGATTGTGTGAGGACCTGGGGTCTTCATTAACTTCCTAATTCCAAGTCTAGTGTAGTACCCACTGCATTACCTACCTGCCCTTAAATCTTGTTGTTCATTCATTTTTGACTCTTTATGACCCCATTTAGGGTTTTCTTGGCAAAGATACTGCAGTGGTTGGCCATTTCCTTCTCCAGCTCATTTTACAGATGAGGAAACTGAGGCAAACAGGGTTAAATGACTTGCCGAGGGTCACATAGTTTGTAAGTGTCTGAGATCAGATTTGAACTCAGGTCTTCCTTTATTCCAGTTCCACCTAGCTGTCCTCCAATTCTAATCAATTGATCAGAATTAATTAATCCATTTTGGGGGACTGGACTTGTTATTTCACTGGCATAAGAAATACCAATGAAGAAACTTCCTCTCCAATGCAGATTGGCACCTGCTTTACAATTTATAATCTCAGAGATTTGCACTCTTAGATGTCGAGTCCTTTGCCCAGGGCCACACATAATCAGAAGCAAAGTGTAAACCCAGGTAGGTCATCTTGACTCCTGTCTTTCCACTAGGCTAGGTTACCTCTCTAATCCTTAAGCAGTGATAATGAATAGACTGGAAGCAGATCCTGAGAAACAGCTTTAGATGAGGAGAGAATATAACTCACCCAAGGTCATTCAAAGAGGCAAATCAAAAGTCAAACCTCAGATTTCCTTATCCTATAGAATAGGATCTTCTTACCATACTGTTGCATTCATTATGCTTCAGTAATGTTTCTATATTTTGCCTGAGCCACCATTTGCCTACCTTTTCATTAGGTAGCTTGTTTCAGCTGAATTAGGCACAAAACGAGGGCTGGTCCCACTAGTGTTGACCTCTTTGCCATCATTTCACTTATTGCCATCTCTGATGCTTTTTGTGATCTCCAAGGAAGTAAAGCAAATAAAGTTTAGAGTCCTAGATTGTTAAAAAAATTCAACATATGCATAAAAACATAACACTTTAGTGCCAGGAGAGACAAAAGATTATCTAGGCCAACCTTTTCATTTTGTAGATGAGAAAGCTGAAACTCAGAGAGTTTGAATATGTTCAAGGTCACATATTTAGCAGACCTAGAATCTCCTGGCTAGATTCCCACGTCTGTGTTTTCTCTTTTTATGAGACTACCATACTTGTTTCCTGATCATTTCATACACTTTGTGCTTGTGTAAAGTGCTTTGCAAAGTGTTATGAAAATGGTAGCTATTATCATTAGCAGAGGGCATCTATAGGCAGTAAAATCACTGCAGTCTAGTTGGCTAATGAGAAATTCTTGAGAAACTTGACACATAGCACATGCTTAACATTGTTGAAATAACTTGAATTGAAGCCATTTATAACCCCAGAAGGGGCATTTCTTAGAAAAATGCATTCCCTCCGCTCTTTTTAATAGCCTACCACCTCCAACACAGACATCCTTGGCTAGAATTAGGAATCTCAAAATAATTATTTAAAGATTTTATAGTTATGCTGTCAAACTTTTTATGTTAATTCAATTTCCCCCATAGGCATAATAAAATACTATCTACTATGGTGAGTCAGTGTGGCAGACTGGATGAAGGACTGGCCTCAGAGTTTGGAAGACCTGGGTTCAAATCCTGTCTCTGATAAAGGCTGGGTGTATACTGATACTGGCTGGGTGACCTCAGGCAAATCATATAACCTCTCAGTGCTCTAGGCCAGAGGTATCAAACATGTTCCTGAGTGCAGCTGAACCAAATTACAATATAATTGGGAAATACTTAACAAAATAAATAAAAATACATTAGAATATAAATAATGTTAATATGTGGTTTTCTAAGCCCTCTTTCCTACTTGAATTTGACAACACTGCTCTAGACAACTCTGTTAGATAGATATAAGTTGAATTAGAAGTGTCACAGTGAACTAGCAGAGGGCATTTCTAAACCTCCCCCCCCATGCCCAATTCCTTATGCCAGCACAATTACAGACTGTCATCTCTGTCCCTATAGCTGATGTGCTCTCTTCTCCCCAAGGATCTCATAATACCTTCTAAATTAACTTGAAACCTCCATAGTAAGTGGTCCTCTGTTGATGTTTGGTGGGGTTCTGAATCAATGTGATTTCATTGGGGTGGGAACTCCTGGTGTAGAAACTCCTTTCACTAACGTACAGATATAAATTGACTGTCAATTGTGCTGTAAGTTGTAGTTTTAGAAGGGTGCCTGAGCACACTGAAAGGATAAGTAACCTATGGTCACATAGCCATTATGCGGGACTTGAAAATAGGTCTTGCTATCTCCAAAGTTGGCCCCTCTATCCACTAAGCCAGGATACCTCACTGTAATAATAAGGAGGAGATATCATGTCTTTGGGAAAATTAAGCCAAGACACAAAATCTGACAGAATAACTTGGGAAAGAACATGTAAATGTGAGGCTTGAATAATAATATGATAACCAACAGAAAAGGTTAATCAAGAAAGAGTGATCAACTTGTAATCATGCTTCCTTTACAGTGAATAGGGGTTCTTTTTTTTTCTTTTTTTTCTTTTTTTTAGACAAAGCGTGTCTCAGGGATTCTTAATCTAGGGTTCATGAATTGTTTTTTTAAAAAATTGATAGCTTCATTTCAATAAAATAGGTTACCTTTGTAACCTGGTATGTATTTTGTTTTATGCATTAAAAATTATTGTGAGAAGGAGTATGTAGGCTTTACCAGAGGGCAAATGGGGGCCACGGCACAAAACAAGGTAAGAGCTCTTGGTCAATAGCACGCTATTAGTGGGAAGTCAGACTTGAACTCTAAATTCAGTCATGCTTCTCTCACTAAGGCTCGCTCATGCTGTAACCAGGTGTTAATTAATCAACCAATAAGCATTTATTAAGTGCCTGTTATGTGCTAGGCTCTGGATATTGTGCTGGTGGTTCTGATGTGTTCCCATAATGTCTGGAGATAGCTGACTAAGTTTGGTGTCTAATGATGCTGACAGAGCTTTTTGTTCTGTTTTGTTTTTTACCTTATTATCTATCACTTACAATATTGACACTCATGCTTGTTTATAACGTGTTCCTGTAAAGAGATATACTAGTGTCTTTATTCCCCTTGCTGCAGCCAAGATCTGAGATGGAGGATCTTAGATCATATACTATTGTCTACTGGGCCTCCAGCTTTCAAAACAAATACGTGACATGCTTTTTCAAGCATTACAACTCATTCACTAAATGGTCCCAGTATATATATATATATATATATATATTATATATATATATATACACATATATATTATATATGTTTGCAAAAGATAAGGGAGGCGTTTTAGGAACTCCCTATCATTTTTGTCTCTTCTTAAAAATCAAAGAAATAAAAAAATAATTTTTTAAAAGTCCTTAGCAGAAAACTAACTTGGAGTGGTACTAAAGTTGTCTATTCTTAGTACAATTGAATATAAAACTCAAAACATTCTCTTCTCTGCATTTTAGGCGTGGGTTTTGCCACCAGAAAAGTGGCAGGCATGGCTAAACCCAGTATGATCATCAGTGTGCAAGGAGATGTGATCACCATTAAATCAGAAAGTACTTTTAAAAATACTGAGATTTCCTTCAAATTGGGCCAGGAATTTGATGAAGTCACTGCAGATGACAGAAAAGTCAAGGTGAGGAATATATATTCCCTTTATATTAAGGGACATTTCTTTAAAAAAATTTATTGGTATCCTTTGTTTCACATCAACTTCATTTCTCAAAATATCCTCCCTTTCCCTTACCCTGAGTGCTATCCTTTATGACAAAGAAAAAAAAAACACTTTAGGAAAACTAATCAACATATCAACCAAGTGTTAAGATCTATTTTTCCATACCCATAATCCCCCATGTCTGCAATGAAATGAAGGCAATTACATTCTCAGATCTGTTCTATAGCCTCAAGTTTAGACATTATTTAGCTTTTCTTTTTTGTTTTTTCTATTTACATTATTGTAGTTACTGTATATATTGTTTTCCTGATTCTGCTTGTTTCACTTTGTACCACTTCATGTGTTCCCTTGTTTCTCTATATCTTCACATTCATTATTTCCTTCAGCACAGTAGTATTCTATTACATTTATGTACCACAATTTATTTAACCACTCCCCAAGAGATGGACATCTGTTTTGTTTCCAGTTCTTTACCACAACAACTACTACAAAAACACCTCTGTGATAAATATTTTGGCACATACAGAACCTTCCTTTCTGTGTTTCACCTCCCTGGGGTGAGCAGTAGAGCCTCCAGGTCAAAGAATATAGACATTTTGGTCACTCTGTGCATTAATTTAAATTTTCTTTCCTTAACGACAAATTTGCTGTTTTATCATCAGGGCATTACTGTACCTGCCTTTCCACAATCTCTCCAAAATCAACTATTTCCATTTTTGTCATCTCCTCCTGTCCCAATTTGCTGGGCATGAAGTGAAGCCTCTGAGTTGTTTTGACTTGTATTTATTTCTCTTATTATTAATGATTTGGAACAATATGTTATATGGTTGTTAATAGTTTATAATTCTTCTTTTGAGAACCATTTATATCCTTTGACCACTTTTCCATTCATTAATATCTTCTTGTCATATATGTTTGTGTTGGTTTGCTGTATATCTTGGATATCAGATTTTTTTCAGAGACAGTTGATACAAAGACTTTTTCCCAGTGAAGTGCTTCCCCTGTTATCTCAGTTGCATTGCTTTTGTTTGTGCAAAACCTTTTCAGTTTCATGTAATTGAAATGATTTATTTTATCTTTTTTTATTACCTTGAATTCTTTTTTGGTTAAGAATTTTCCCTTAGGAGACATTTCTACATAGTCCCTGAGAAGTCTCACATAATAATAGGGGGAAAATGACTAACCCACTGAAAATGAAAAGTATGTCAGAATAAACATGGCAGGTAATTCTTCTGTCTCTCCTGGGAACACAAAGAGTCTCATCATATTTTTTTTATGCTTACAGAGTCTCATAACCTTAAATGATGGTGCACTGGTTCAGGTGCAGAAATGGAATGGAAAATCAACCACAATAACAAGAAAACTAGTGGATGGTAAAATTGTGGTGGTGAGTTATTTCTAATCACTAACTACAGCAAAGTTCTTGTGGTGCTATGGAAGCAGAATCATGTGGAGAGTGAAAGAGCCTAGCTCTGATGCTTGCTTCTGCCAGTTCCTACCTAAATGACCTTTCACGAATCACTTCAGGTGGGGCTAGATGAACTCTGAAGTCCCTTCTAGCTCTAAATCTATGATCCAGATAACCTCAGATTCCATTTACTATGTATAGAACACCTAATTGCCAGGTTTGTCCCCGGGCACTTTGGAGAAAGCAAAAGGGGACTCTTGGGCCCACAATCAATCATACTCTGAACTCAAGTGTATATGCTAAGGGAGCATATAATTGGATCTGATGTTAGCAAAGAAGAAATATGCATAGGTTGCTCCCACTGTCTTGCTAAATTGAAAGAGGAGAAAAGAACTTCCCATTCCTTCACCTTCCTTGTTTCACCTTAATGTTTGACCCTCACCTCTTCTTACTCCCTAGGAATGCACCATGAAAGATGTCATTTCTACTAGACTCTATGAAAAAGTATGAACTGCCTTCTCAATGAACCAAAGCCTGCCAAACTCCACCACGTTTTGTTGGATGTGTGTGTGTTGTTTAAATGAATATGGTTCTCCCTGACTACATTGGGAGAAATTCTATTTGCAAAGCATTTATTTACTCCTTTCTGTTTTATTGATTCAATAAACATCTTTAACATTAAAATACATGCATGGATACTTTGTTCTTATACTATGAATAGCATAAGAATTATGACCTTTCTTGATATTTTTAAAATAAAATTTCTCATGGAAAATCTGTAGTTGATTAGAGTACTTGTATGGGGAGGATAATTATATAATTATTTTAAAATAACTAATTTGTGATTTCTTCACTGACCAATAATCCAAAAAAATTATTCTGTCATATACATATAGAGTAACATTTCTTTAATTTGGAATTTATGATAACTCAGATATAGTATATGTATTTCAGTATTGCTTTGTAACTGAACTGAATGTACTCTGTGTAAACGGAAGGGATATCTTCCTATTTAATGTAATTTCAGGGGTTCCAGCCTTTACTTGTGCCCTCCAGCTCCAAAGCTTTTTTCCCTCTCCTTTCCCCCTTTATTGGAGGTGAGGAAAGCCCTTCATTATATTTGAGAGCAGGAAAATACAATACAAAGTTCCCTAGGTAGACAGTAATGTATTAAGAATTCACACTGAAGTATAAATCATTTACATAAAAACCTTTCCTGAGAGATATCGACAGAGGGAAAAGATATGGAGGAAAGAGACATTGGACATCTGAAAGGAGCTGTGAGATTAGATGCCATGGACAAAGTAAAGTGAAGTCAGCAAGCATTTATTAAGAACTTATGCAAAAAGAACTGGGGGCACAAAGTTAGACAAAAGCACTTCCTGCCCTCAAGGAGCTTACTTTCCAATGGGGGATATAAAATGCCAACAACTATGCACTAACAAGATATATACAGGATAACTAAGAATAATCTCAGGGGGAAGGCACCAGCATTAAGGGGAATTAGGAAAGGCTTCTTGCAGAAGGTGGGATTTTAGCTGAGACTTAAAGGAAGACTAGGAAACCAGAAGGTAGAGACAAGGAATGAGAGAATTTCAGGCGTGAGGGACAACCAATGAAAATTCACAGTGAGTAGATGAATTGTCTCATACAAGCAAGATCAAAGACACAGGTGTCATTAGATCGTGAAGTATGTGGAGGGGAGAAAAATGTAACAGTGGTGAAATTGGAGGGGCCAGGCTATGAAGGACTTCCAAAGTCAAACAGAGAATTTGATATTTGATCCTGCTGGTAATAGGGAGTCATTGGAGTCCATTTAATATGGGATGACATGGCCAGACCTGTGTATAAGGAAAATCAATTTGACAGTTAAGCTGAGGATGGACTGGAGTGGGGAGAGACTTGAGGCAGAGAAATCAACCAGCAAGTTATTGCAATAATCCAGGTGTGAGGTGATAGGGTCTTATATCAGGGTGGTGGCTATGTGAATGGAGAAAAGGGGAGGTTTACAAGAGATGTTATTAAGGTAGAATTGACAAGATTTGACAACTAATAGGATATGGGAGGTAGTGAGAGAAAGTGAGGGGTCAAGAATGACACTGAGGTTGTGATCCTGAATGACTGGGAGGATGGTGGTGTGCTCAGCAGTAATAGGGAAGTTAGGAAGAGAAGTGATAATGAATTAAGTTTTGGACATGTTGAATTTAAAATATCTATGGCAATCCTGTACAAGGTATCTAATATGCATAAATGGAGACCAGAAGAGAAATTAGAATTGGAAATAAATCTGATAGTCATCTGCATAAAGATGATAACTGAATTCATGGGAGTTGGTGAGATCATCGGGTGAAATAATATAGAGGGAGAAGAGAAAAAGGACCAGGTCAGAGCCTTGGGGGGTCACCTACTGTTAGTAGGCATGACCTAAATGAAGATCCAGCAAAAAAGACTGAGGAGTGATTAGACAGGTGAGAAGAGAAATAGGAGGAAGCAGAGTTGCAAAAACCTAGAAAGGAAGAAATATCAAGGAAAAGAAGGTGATTAATGTCAAAGTTTGCAGAGAGGCCAAGAAAGATGAGCATTGAGAAAAAGCCATCAGATTTGGAAATTGTGAGATTATTGATATTGAGATATTGATAACTCTGAAGACTAGTTTTAATTGAATGATGAAGTCATTAAGAAGAGTGTGAGAAGCTATTGATTAGAGAAATGCAAATTAATAGGCCTGATAATTTTTCAGATTTCTAGAGAATACTGCTCACGAGCATCCACCAATGACTTTCTTGAATAGTTAGCTAGTAGACACAATTAATTCAAAGTAAAGGTGTTTACCCAGATAGCCTAATAATAACAAGAACAGATTAGTCCTTGTGTTTTGTCCTTTGTTTTTGAAGAGGACCAATGATATTGCAGGTGATATCTTGACCTGTGTGTGAATTGGATTAAAGTGAGGCAAAGATGGCATCCTTATAGAGCCCATAGATAACACAAAGCTAAGAGAGATAATGAATATACTGGATAACAGTCAGAATCTTTATTTATTTATTTATTTATTTATTTTTTAGGCAATTAGGGTTAAGTGATCTATCTGCCCAGGGTCACGCAACTAGTAAGTGTCAAGTGTTTGGTCTGAGGTCAGATTTGAACTCAGGTCGTCCTGACTTCAGGACCGGTGCTGTATCCACTGTGCCACCTAGCTGCCCCTAACAGTCAGAATCTTAAAAAACCTTGACAGAGTGGAATGTTGTACAAAATTTATTAAAATAAAATATAAAGGATAGAATGTTGCAGTTGGTTTAAAAAAGTAAACTGTCACACGTCCTAGGTGCAGGGGCATAGGTAGACAGCTGTTCATCTGAATAAAGCTCTGAGTAGGTTTCAAGTTCAAAATGTGTCAACGGTGTGACATGGCATCCAAAAAGCTAATGTGATGCTAGGCTGAACAGAGAGATCTGGGGTTCATAAAGAGAGAGCTGATAGTCCCTTTGTACTTTACTCTTGTCAGATCACATAAGGAGCCTTGTGCTCAACTCTGGAAGCCCATTTTGCAAATACATTGACAAGATGGAGAACATTTGCAGAAAGCCAGTCAGAACGATGAAGGGTCCTAAGACCATGACATATGAAAATGTACGGAAGATATTACAGTGGTTAGTTTGAGATGGAGAATACTTGAAGTTATGGAGAGGTGATAGCTGTCTTCAGATATTTGAAGGGCTGTCAAATGGATGAGGGGCTATAGTCACTCTGTTTGGCCCTAGACAGCAGAATTAGAAGCAATGTCCAAACTTTGAAGAAAGGCAGATCTAAGTTTGACACAAGGACAAATTTATTAACAATCATTTCCTGTCAAATTAATCTTCCTTATACATAGGTCTGGCCGTGTCATCCCAAATTAAATCCATTCTAATGTCTCCCTATTACCAGCAAGATCAAATATCAAATTCTCTGTTTGACTTTGAAAGTCTTTCATAGCCTGGTCCCTCCAACCTTACCACTCTTAACATTTTTATCCCCTCCACATACTTCATGATCTAATGACACCTGTGTCTTTGATGTTCCTCGTAGGAGACAATTTATCTGTGAATTCATTGGTTGCTCCTCGTACCTGGGCTGCCTTAGAAGGCAGTGAGTTTCCCTTCACTGGAGTCCTTCAAAGACTGGATGATCACTTACATTTTGCCAACTTATGTTTTTTCCAGGTGTCAGTCGGACAATGGTGCCTCTGAAAGCACTCTTCTATTCTGAGATTGTGTGATTTAATGGAAAAGACTTATGGATTCAGAGCCTGTCAGGCTCTGTATTTTCTGTTGTGCTGGGTGATAGACTGTTCTTCTCTTCCCTTTAGCTTTTTTCTCCCTTCTCTATCATTCCTGTAAGAGGAAGAAAAAAAAGGTCAAGGTCTTCCACTGCATCCGGGGCCATCTCCAGTTGTCCTGATATATATCTTGCCACTGGACCCAAATAGCTCTGGAGGAGAAAGTGAGGCTGGTGACTTTGCACAGCCCTGCCTCACTTAAATCCAATTTACTTGTAAGTCATGGCAACACCTTCCTGATGTCAACAACCAACAACAAGAGGAAGCAGTTTTGCTCCCCTTCTCTGGTGAGCAAAGAAGTACCCCGAGTCAGTTCTCCTCTCTCTGGCTCCCTGAGAGGCTGAGTGAACTCACTGCAAGATTCACCCACCTTAGCCTAGAAGTGAAGGCATGACAAGAGATTCACAATCTCTCTCTCTTTTTTTTTTTTTTTGGTAGGAAGGCTGCTAGTTCTGTAGCTTATTTTGTTTTTTAATAATTAAATCACTAATTTATAGAAATCTTTTTTGATAGGTTTGGAGCTAGATCTTTTCTCTTGTTGAATATCTCCCCTCCTTCCCAGTAGAATTTGTTTTATTTATTGAATGGAGTTCAGTGGACTATACCATTCATGCCTTATATTCAGAAGGAATGAGAATGATGAGCTTGCTGTGAAATACCATTAACTACTTCTTCTAGATTTCTACAATCAGTTGGTACTAGAAGAGAAAGTCAATTGTACTCCTTAAATCACTTTCTGGAAGATTGTTACCAAATCAGGTAGAAAGGGGCAACACAGAATTTTAAAACTATTATATTCTTTAAAACTTTTTTAATGAACAAAATGTATTTTCTTTCCCTTTCACCTCCATCACTGGGTTGTTTTTGAAGAGGACCAATGACATTGCAGGTGACATCTTGACCTGTGTGTAATTGGATTAAAGTGGGATTCATATATTCAACTATTCAGAGTCAAGCAAATTAAATTCCACACTTAAAGCTGCATTTATTGATGAATTACTCAAGGTGGTTCTTCAGAATTCCTTATTGATATTAGTAGGAAAACTTTCTTCCTTTTAGATCACTCAAACTCTCATTCACTTAAGTTTTTTTCTAAAACCTTCAACAAATTCCTCTTCCTACTTTCAAATCTGTTACTGTTCGCTTTTCATTATTTCCAAATCTTCAAAGGTGGTTTTTCTATCCATGAAAGATGTTTATTCCCTAAACACCATGCTCTTCTTGAGACTCATAGCATAATCTGTCCGCAAATAGAGACTATTTCCTTTGCTTCTCACCCTCAATTAAACTTGATGAATAATGATGATGATGATGATAATAATAATACCCTACATAACACATTAAGAAACTGTAAGCATTTTATAGATATTATCTGGACTACACATCATCCCTGTAAGGTAGGGAAGGGGAGAAATAATTTGAAGATGAAGAAATAGAGGCAACGTGACTTGTCCAAACAAATAATAGCTGCTGGACATGAGGCACCCAAGGGTGTTCTCTTCTCTTGCCAGAAAACCTAGAGTTGTATATTTATTAGATATTCATCAGTTTCTTCCCCCAAATTTGACTCAGCACTCACATCTGAAAAGGCTGATTCCCATCGGAAGTTGCCTCTACTATGAACAAAGTAATACTTATCCCTTGTCCTCTGGGTAAAAGTCACAATGCTGGAAGCTATAATCACTGCCTTAAACCAAAATTTACATGTTATTTTCAATTTCTTAATTTGGTGGTAAGAAAAATTAGTCAAGTGATGGTAATGGGAGTCCCATTATTGGCTACGTCAAAGGAGTCACATGGTAATGATGTCTTTTAAAAGGTTGTCTTGGTGGCCTTGCAGTTCATGCCATTCCTTGGTCTTCTAATCTGAGCCTCTATTTCCATCAAACTATCCAAGATGTTTGAGCCTTTCTTGGGAACCTGGAAACTTGTCTCTAGTGAAAACTTCGATGACTACTTGAAGGAACTAGGTGAGATGTGCCATTGCGTGGAATGAGAGTTATCAGTTTCTTTCTTGTAGTGCTGGGGATGATGACTTTTCCCCTTTGTCTTTCTTCTGGGTTTCTAGGTTATACCATATTGATCTGAAAAAGTCACCTCTTACATATATGCAACTCTAAATGACATTGCTTTAAAGTGTGTGTGGCAGGGGCAGGAGTATTTTCTATTATGTTGAAAAATCATAATGGATTATAATAATCTATACTCAGATGTTATGTGAACATTCCTTAGTTAACAGTGGAGACAGCTTCCAAAAGCAATCAGCCTTTTCAGATGTGAATACTGAGTCAAATTTGGGAGAAAAACTGATGAACATCACTATTGGATATACAACTCTTGGTTATCTGGCAAGAGGAGAGAACACCCTGGGTTGCCCCATGTCCATCGGCTATTATTTGTTTGGGCAAATCACATTGTCTCTAATCTTCATCTTCAATGATTTCTTGCCTTCTCTACCTTATAGATTTGGTGTATAGCAAGGCCTGTATTCAGCTGGCTTTATAACATTTCTATGTGCAAAAATTTAGATATTAATAGCTAAAGCTTCTGCTCTTGATTCAGCCCCTCTTGAGAGGAGGAGCTAACAACTGGGGGATCAGAAAAGACTTCACAGAGGGTGGAACATCGAGAGGCTCCTTGAAGGAAAAGAATTCTGACAGATGGAGATGAGAAGGGAGTGCACTTTAGACGTGGGCAGGTGGTTTGCAGGTGCAGAGAGACAGGAAATAGGATGTTGACTTAAGGGAATGTCTGTTACTTGAGTCTGACTGGAATGTGGTATGCATGAAAGGGAGTAAGGTAAAATAGGGAAGGAGTTTGGACCTATGATTCAAATGGCAGAGGGAGATCTCAATGAAGAAATTCCCTCTATCAATGCAAGTTGGCATCTTCTCTTCAACTTAGAGTTTTAGAGTTACCTAAACCCATGAGAGGTTAAGTAACTTAAGAATCTTACAGCCAGTAGGTGTGAGAGGTAGACTTAAACCCTGATCTACCTGCCTCCAAGATCAGATCTCTATCCTTTATACCACCCTGCCTCTAATGAGCAATGGGCACAAGTCTATAAAAGGAGAATGATTGCTAACTTAGAGCTAGAAGCAACCTTAGGGGTCATCTAGTGTAACTATATTCTTGTACAGATTAGGAAACTGAAGCCCAGATAATTTAAATGATTTGACCAAGGTCACATGGAAGTATCAGGATTTGAATTCAGGGCGTTGGCCTCCAGATTCAACTTTCTTGCTATTCCATCAGAGGTTAAGGTGACATCATAGAGGACCTTACAAATCAAGCTAAAGAGTCTGTATTTTATTGTAAGCAATAAATAGAAGTTGATTGCTTTTGAATAAGAAAGAGTCTTACAAAGATTATCCTGTTAGCTGTGTGGAGGATGGATAAGGTGAATAAAGATAATGCAAGTAGGAAGACTAGTTAGGAGACCACAATTAGATCCAGTCTCATAAAGTGGTTGCATTATTTGAATTCACATTGCATATTTCCAATGGGCTGGAACTGATGACCAAATTTTATATAATTATAACTTTAAATACTGTGAATTCAAATACATTAACCACTTCAGGAGATTCATTATTTACTCTAATTGGACCCAGATGTATTACACTAGTCCAGGGATGAGGTAATGAGAATCCTAACTAAGCAGATGGTTGTCCAAATACAGAGAAAGCACAAATGTAAATCATGTTGTAGAGGCTAATATAAATTGCTTAGGTAAGGAGTAATAAGGGAATAAATTACAGTGGTGGTAGAGCACATGAAGAGAAGTGGATGGACTTGAGAGAGATTTTGAAGGAAGAATTAATGAACTTGGCAACTGTTGGCATATGGGGAAAGAGGGAGAAGGAAGAGTCAAAAGTGACTCCAAGCTTATGAATCTAGGGGACTTGGAGGATGGTGGTGCCCTCAGCAAAGAGAAGTATATGCTTTTTGTAAAAAAAAAAAA